CCTTCCTTCCTTCCTTCCTTCCTTCCTTCCTTCCTTCCTTCCTTCCTCCCTTCCTCCCTTCCTCCCTTCCTCCCTTCCTCCCTTCCTCCCTTCCTCCCATCCTTCCATCCTTCTTAACTAAACTAAATTAAAATTATGTGGTATCTGTAAGTCTTCCACAAGTACCCCCAAATTATTTTTTTTTCGTTTACTACATTTAAAGAAATAGTCTTAAAAGATGATGACTTTTTTTCAGCTAGGAAACAGAATCTTCATCCAACTTGCAGATGAAAGAGTCCCTCCTCCAAAGTGGAGCCCTCTACATTCCTCTGTTCCTTATACAAACAAAACTGCTGACTCCTTGCAAAGAAATGGGTTGCAATGGACTCTCTCCATATGTTCTAGGGAAAAAGCAATGAATCACAGGAGAAAGCAAAGGCTGAAGCAAGTCACACTGGATGCTACTGTATACAGCATTTCAATTAGTATTGATACTATGATTTTGTCTGTTGTTGACTGTACATGCATACTTAACAAATTACTGCAATCAGCAACTGTTGAATAAGTGCTTCTTATTCATTAGCTACTCTTTGATCTAAAACTGTATTTTCCTATTAGCGACTAAGCACCATAAATGTGCATGAATTCAAGTGACACGGGCAACAAGCTTACATAACACAAGGAAAAATCAGGAGAGCAAAAAAGAGCAGCAGTGAGTGAGCATGTACTGAGCGGCACCTCCCTTCACGCTCTTTCCTTTTCTTGATTGCTGCCTGCAAAACCGGCAGTGGGAGAACTCAGCGCTGCACTGACAGCTTCGCAGGCCCCCCCGATGCTCCCCTGTATTGTCTAGCACAGAGAGTTGATATGGTGAGAAGGTTCACTTAAAAACTTAGCCAAACTTTCTTATTCTTTTCAAAGAAAGGTTAGTTCATAACAAAACTCGGAGTCCATTAAAAGATGCTCAATAAGCTCTATATGTTGTGTATTCTCCAAATGACTGTCACAGATGGTTTTCTGTCTGTAACTGTGATTTGAAAATACTGATCTGTCTTCCACAGAACACATGAAAAAATATAGAAAGAAGTCAGTGCCAGCCACTAGAAGAGAACAGGCTCCACCAAGCAAATTGCAGAGCTGTGGGGAGCACTCCTATTACTCAGGGCTACAACCCCCAGCAGCCCCAGGAAGAAGGCTGAGTGATGTAAAAGATGTCACCATGGCTCCACTGGGGGACTGCAGGGCTGGGAGGGCTGCCAACTGAGGGGAAAACAATGAACAGGAGGTAAAAATGCTTAGTGCTGTGGCTTGCAAGTCACATGTAAGAGAAGCCCATAAACAAACACATACAAAGTCCAGGTTGTCTGTGCTGAGTCCAAAGGGGCCAAGTGGCAAACAAAGACACATTTCCATTGAAATGCCACAAAAGAAACCATGCAGAGGACATTATTCTTGACAGGTGATGCTCATTTCCAGTCCCCCCAAAACGTGCTGTCAAGACAGTGCGTTCTGCAATGCGTCTACATAAGCTCAACATCTCTGTGTACACCAAAGCTTTGAGGATGTAATTCCCCATTGTCTCCTCAAAACTTCCCATTATCTCAAAGGAACCATTACACTGCGATGGGGAGTTTATAGCCTGACAATCTCCAGATGCTCAATAGCAAATATGACCACTGGCATTGCCTTCATCTCACTGCACAACACATCACCGTGCTCAGACACACAAAGCCAGCAGGAGGTACCGCCAGCTGAGAACAAACTTTGGCAACTCCTTCCCACCAAAATACACATTTCAGATTTTGTGACACTTCACCTTGAATTCAGTCATCGAAGCTGACTTCAAGACCCTCACTGCAGAAGCCCCAACAAATGCAGGATTTCCCAGCCAGCCCCAGATCTGCTGGTAGGACCTTCCACGTGTTGAGAGCGAGCAGCCAGCATTGCCCATCTGAAGCTCTGTATCTCAGTAGCACTCACTGGCAGTTCTGTGAGACAGAACAGTGTCTGCCAGTTGCAGACATTTCAAGCCAAGTGGACGACAAAGGCCTTGCTCACCAGTCCCTTCTTACCCATTCAGAATGTAGGGCAGTCTTGAATAAATAAATAGCACTGATTGCTCATTTCAAATGTGTTGTCTTTTTTTTTTTTTTTCCTTGAAAAATGAGATATTGTCAGCTGCTGCTGAAGTTTCATGAGACTAGGATTAAAGAACTGGAACCAACATCTGCAAAACAAGCCCTGTTTCATTGCATTGGTTAACTGAAATGTACAGCTCACCCAGCTGTGAAATGCACTGCTAAGCTGAGAAACAACACATCTTCCATTCCTGACATTTTAGTAAATACAGATTTCGTTAAATTAATATTGGTTTTTATGGTCACAAGTGCTAAACTGCATTGTCCACCAACTAAGTCTGTAAGAACATAGTAAGCAGCTGTCATCCTGCACTCCTTGTCCATGGTTCCTCCTCAGTCATCATTCAAACCCAACTGAAATATCTATCCTGAATACCACTATTATTTTTGGGGGGTAATTCAAATAATAGGATATGAAGGGCTTAGATTTAGATTCCCAGTTAGTGAGAAGCTCCCATTTCCACAGCCATCAAGAAGCAGTTATGCTGGACGCCCAAAGGCTGCTGCAGAGCTGTGAGGTCAGTAAATGAAATCTCTTCTTCTGACATGGTACGTGGAACTGAGCTTGGTGAGGCCATGGGCACATAAACACAGAGGTGGCACATTCAGTCATACATGAAGATTTAAGCTTCTACTGCACTAAGATTATGGCGTTGTTCAGCTGCTGGCTTCCTGGATTGTTTTTCTTGAGTGATAAGGGAGTTATTGTATGGAATGTAAGGCAGACCTAGGAAAAAAAAACAAGCTCCCAGATTGGGCATTATGTTTGTGTACACTTCTGGATCCTGGAAAGTACCACAGAACATTACATGCACTTAAAAATAAAATTAAATTTTGATTTAACGCAGTTACTCCATCCTAAAAATAATTAGTTAGAATTATTTACTGCTGCAGAGAAATAGCTTTTTTCATAGACACAAAGGTGGAGCTAGTAATGCACTGTCTTTAAAACTAGCCTACATCTCTCTTGCCCTGAGCTCCTGAGAATCACATTAGTGTTGCAGTGACTTCAGGCAGCACTCATGTCCCCTGCTCTGCAGCAGCATGTTTGGCAAGGAGACAACACACTGGAAGCAACATACTTCAGGCGTATGCCTTGTGCCACACACAAGGGGAAAACATTTCTGGAACTGGCCAAGTCATAAACGGTAACAAACCCTGCTTCCATGTATCCTTATATCCTGCTGTGCCAGCTGGGTAAGTGCAGCCAAACTCTTTGATGGCTGGTATTTCAGTTGGACTGCCCAGATTCAGGGGAATACATGACTTCACATCCAGTTTTTCTTTTGAACAGTTTGTGTTGGGGTCCCACCAGAATTATCATGTCTGGAAAGGCCAAAAAAGGGTGTAAAAAGGCAAATGCTGCCTGGAAACAAAATGGGTAAGGAAGCGAGAGGGGAACTGGGACCTCGGGGCTGGAGAGGTGGGACATAGCACGCGAGACTGGAGAAGGCCGAGCAAAAGGCACAAGGCGGGGAGAGGCACGGAGACAGTGGCCAGAGGGAAGGAGCTCGGTGAAACCAGGGCCTCGGGGCCAGAGCTAAGCAGCCCAGCACAGGAATATGGGAAACCGCAAGCGCTTGGTGGTGACTGGGCTGAAAGCACGAGGAGAGGTGTGAAAGGCGAGAGTGCGTCACAGATCTCAAACACCACGTGCAACCTGAGACCGTGCTGAAACACGGAACGGGAACGATGTGACCGTCCATCTGTACACGTTACCCAAACACAGGGGCACAAGAACACACTGCCACCAGACTTGCCCGTGCCGTGCCCGACGAACTCCTCCACGCCTCTCGCAGCCGCCACCCGCCGGGCACAGCCGGGACTCGGGACCGGCCCCCACTCGCCTCCCGCCCGCCCTCCCCGTGCCCGGAAGCGCACGGCGGCCGTCCCAGAGCGCCCGGCCCGGCGCGGGAGCCGCCACGGGAGCCGCTCGCAGCGCCGCGGCCGCCGCCGCCCGCCCGCCGCCTTCGGGGCGTCCCCCGGCCCCGCAGCTGACGGCGCTGGAGTGGCGCATCGTGGAGCTGCACCGGGAGGCGGCTGCGGTGAGAGCGGGGCGTGCGCCGGGACCCTCCGCCGGAGGCTCCGGGCGGGCGGCGCTGGGGCCGAGGGAGGCCGCGCGGAACGCCGGGCCCAAGAACAGCGCTGCCCCAGGGCGGGAGCCGCCCCTCTCGGCAGCGCCGCGCAGACGCCGTGGGGGCTCCGCGTCCGCCCCGCGCCGTTCCGGGGCCTCCCGAGTGCGGCCCGGCCGGCGGCGGCCGGCATCGGCCGGCCCGGGGGGCTCTGCATGCGGGAGCGTGCGGCGCGGGGCCCGGGGCTCGGAGCGGCCGAGGCTGCAGATCGAGAAGATCTTAAGCGGTGAAAGATGTTAGACACTGTCCGATAACTGCGTGAGATGGTTTACAAGTAAAATGCGAGAGTCTGGAATTCGGAAAGGGAAGAGGAAGTAGCGCAGAAAGGGAAAGCAGCCGAAGTGGAAGCGCTGCCTGTATCCGACCCGGGCTGAGCTCTGTGTCTGTCCCCAGGCGGGCCGGCAGACCTACGTGGACCCAGCCACGGGCTACCAGGTGCTCACCGAGGCCGCCCACTTGCGGAGAGGTAAATGCTGTGGCTCTGCGTGCAGACATGTGAGTACAAGCCGTGTCCCCCAGCCCCGCCTGGGCGCCGTCCCTGTGACTTGTACGTTATTGGTGCTGGGGCAGCAGGAGTTGGTAGCACATCTTGTGTGTTCTGCCCTGCCTTGGAGAGGATCTCAGACACGTTAAGTCTAGGGAAGGTTATTGGCAGAGAATAAAACTATTGGAGCATTTCCCATTGACATTATCTCTTAGAAATAGCATGAAGTGCCCTGCACAGGAGTTATTTGACTGACTCTTAGTTTATGGAAGTTCTGTACCCTTTCACAAGTCCCTCAGCCAAGGGAAAGAAGCAGCGTATCACAAAGCCTGTGTCCAACAAGCATTCCCATTTCAGGGATGGGAGATGGGGTTTGTCTCAAAGATAGCTCGGTTTTCCAGAATGTTGTTTCAAACTTTAGAAGCTATGTTTTGTAGCAAGATGGAGAAGTGACATAAGGTGCAGGATTTGGTAGAACAGTGGGTGAATGTCATTAAGCAATAGGGTCCATCTGATGAGAACTGTGGATTTACATACATAGACCCAAGGAGCGCCAGTTCTGTCGCTTCCAGTACAGACAAGGCCAAGGCCACAGTCATCCCCCAGGCAGGCTCTGGTTACAGCTGTGCCTGAACTTTCATGTGGGTAGCACTCAGGGTGCAGTATACACGGGGCTGGCCATGGTGCATTTAACCTAAAGATCCCTCTGAGAGCAGTGGAGAAAGGGAGTGAGCACATGTGATACACATTCAAATATGCGGAGCTGATTGTGGCTCTGCTTTAGCTTTTCCTTTTTAAAGTTGCTGCCCGAGTGGCAAAGACTTCTTTCTTCAGTGAGATCTCTCTCTTCCTATAAGGGAACTGTCAGGACACAGGGCTTTGGGGACAAAGAGTTTCAATTGATCAGGACATGGTTACAGATGTACTGAGAGCCCGGGATCGTGCTTTCTCCCCTCTGCTCCTTGTGCCGTGCTGTGCTCTCAGCTGAGCTATTCTGGGAGCTCCAGTATGCACAGCATTTCTGCAGTTACATACAAAATAAAGAAGTTTAAGAACAAAAGATTGTTCTGGACAGTCAAACTGGAATGAGTTGGAAGGATACATTTAGGAAGTGGTTTCTTGGACGCTAATTAGGACCATTTGCTTGGGGTTGCCATTATTTTCCTTTTAGTCTGGAGGGCACAATAGATCAAATGATTTATATATCATTAACAATTCCTGTTAACCATAAGCCGAGCCGGGCTTTTCCATACTGATTACTAAGTAATGCAATAATGGCTTGTTTTATTTCTTCTGCAGTGTCCATATGAGCAAGTTAACGTAAGAGACCAGTCAAAAAAGAAGCACTTCAACTCTTTTTTCTATGTGTGACCATGAACGCTCTGCACTCTGCAAGAACGGCTGCAGGACCTGAGCACACCTTGTAGCTCCACGTGGCTGCCACCACCAGCTCACTGCCATGCGCCGTGCCTGCAGCCGGCACACGGTGACTGCGCTTTTGTTGCAATAAAGCACCAACTGAACGGTGTGTGCGTGTGTTTTGGCACAGCGTTATTGATCACCTCTTCTCTTTCTTTTGCACTACAAGTAATGGGTTCATCCATTTGTTGGATTGTATCTGGTCATACCATGAATTTCACTTGGAAAGAAGCCGGGAAAGCAGGTGTATGCAATAATTTACATCCCTTGGGTGTATTTATCGTCACTATTGCGTACGGTGCAACATGTAAGAAATACTGCTAATTTGGGTACACAGTTTGAGTTGATTTTTGGAGGGGTCAGGGACAGCGATACTGAACTGTGTGCTGTGCTGCATGAAGGCAGTGCTTTCACGGACAGCTGCTGCCAGGGGTGATTTGCTACTAGGGCTGAGCCCAGCCCGCAGCTCCCCAAGGATGCCATGTCCCTACCGGGTACCGGGGAGCAGCAGACCGGGCCAGGCCACACTTCCAGCTGGGTCTGACCCGGGGCAGCCCCGGGTTTCCCCACACACCCGTGCTGAGCTGAGCGCCTACCCTGAGATGGGGTGGGAGGAGGACCAGCAGGGCAGATCGGACTGTGTTCTTGAATGATTTACATTCTTCGTATTTGATTGAACGTCTATCTGATCAGTGTCCAAGTTTGTAAAAGGCTTTGGAAGACAAAAATGTTCTGTTTGCAAGCATAATACGAAGTGTAAAGTATGCTACACAAATCTACGAGCAGCCGGGAGGAGCCGAGCCCTCCTGCGCGTTGGACAGACCCTCAGCGGGCGCTCCCCCGCCTTTGTTCCGTGCAAAAGGCAGCCCCTCTATTTCTTACTGCAGCCACTGCTATCTGCGCTGTTGCTCTTACTGCCTGGCACAACATCTCCCTCAGATCAGCTCCCAGACCGAG